CTCTCTCTCTCTCTCTCGCTCTCCTCTCTCTCTCTCGCTCTCGCTCTCTCTCTCTCTCTCTCTCTCTCTCACTCTCTCTATCCCTCTCTCTCTCGCACATGTTGGAAAGAGAGAGTGTGCCCTGTGTGTCCCCGAGCTCAGATGCTCTGTAGGGATTTACTGAGTTCTCCCCACTGTAGATGCCTGAGGCATCTATAGGGTCTATCAGGTGTGAGTAAGCGCAAGGTTTCGTTTTAAAGATGTGTTCCGATGAAGGAGCCCTCTTGTTGCTACGCACCAAGCATAATAGCGGAGCATCCTTGGCTCTCACCCCTGGTAACACTAACAGTATCAGCAGCACGCAGCGTGCTGTACCGCCGAGCTGCTGAGTGGTGGCCAATGTATCCTAGAGCGTGTTGACCCTGAATAGTTGTGCATGGCTCTTGAGCATACAGGGCGAGCTGTGGTTGTGGTGAGCGTGCGTGCGTGTGTGTGTGTGTATAGCCCTGGGCAAAGTGGGGCAGTTCAACGTTACTTATTCATTAGTTTGAATGCGGTGGCTCTCAGATGTAGGGCACCCCAGCTTAAAACTGGGCTCGCGTGTATACATGTGCACCCGGGGTGTGTGTAAGTAGTAGGGACCCCTATTCGTGGTTGTGAGTTATTTACGTGAGCGTGTGGGGCTCTTCCAGTCAATGCTCTCTTATTTCCCGCTGCTACTATTGCCAGAGTGGGAGGATATCCATGCATGTATACCCTCTTGAGTACTCGGGTACGTAACTAGAGAGCTACAGCAGGCGGCCGGGTAATTTTCTGCCCCAGCTGTCTCTAATTAATCGATGTATTTACCTTAGGGAGAAATACATGGAAATGTAAATAGGTGTGGTTTATCTTCGAATGCGCCCACGTGTGTGTATGCACTTAGCATGCAGTGGTGTGCATATGTAATGTCACGCTGTAGCATTGATAGCTGGTGTTGCTACTGTGTGCGAGTGCGTGACTCGGTAAAAAAAGGTCAGACAAACACCGTAGATGCGATGACGTAATAAAGATGGCGTGAGTGTGCTCGTACATGCGCACCCCAGTATACGTGATACAATCTGTATGTGAGTGTGTATGTGCACAGGCACTTGGAACGTTTCAATACAAAAATATGGTAAATAAACAATTATGATAAGTTTTAAATGATTACAATTATGGTAAAGGCAAAATACTCTTTATTCTTGTTGTATGTGCACAGCGGCGTGCGTGCGGGTGGGGTGTCACCGTGTGTGTGCATTTATACAGCATTTACAGGAAGTTATCGGCAATAATAGGCGAAAGAGAGTAGAGAAACATTAAGACTTCAATGGTAGTAAACACATTTCGTGTTTATTTATCATATTTGTGTAATAATATACCATAAATTGAAACGTTCCAAGTGTTCGTGTGTACGTGCGTGCGTGTGTAGTAACTAGGCGACGGGGCGGGGCGGGGTATTCCCTCACCCGTGGCATACATAGGTACAGTGTGTCGCAGTATTCCGTCGCCTGTGGCATACATAGGTACAGTGTGTCGCAGTATTCCCTCGCCTGTGGCATACATGGGTACAGTGTGTCGCAGTATTCCCTCACACGTGGCATACATAGGTACAGTGTGTCGCAGTATTCCCTCACACGTGGCATACATAGGTACAGTGTGTCGCAGTATTCCCTCACCTGTGGCATTCATCAGTGTGTCGGGGTATTCCCTCACTCGTGGCATCCATCTAGGTACAGTGTGTCGCGGTATTCCCTCACCCGTGGCATACCTAGGTACAGTGTGTCGGGGTATTCCCTCACCTGTGGCATCCACATAGGTACAGTGTGTCGCGGTATTCCCTCACCTGTGGCATACATAGGTACAGTTTGTCGGGGTATTCCTTCACCTGTGGCATACATCTAGGTGCAGTTTGTCGGGGTATTCCCTCACCCGGGGAATTCCCTCCTTCACCCGTGGCATCCATAGGTACAGTATGTTGGGGTAGCCCACCCTATCACACACACAATATTTTTACTAGGTACAGTGTGTCGGCATATTCCCAGCACGGCATTTTAAATCATTAGCAACAAGCAGCAGCAGCAGCGCAGCAGACTGTTTGCGCGTTGAGTGTTCCCACTTTAATAAATCCGCGTTCAATCGCTCTGTGCGTACTCTGGCCGAACTAACAACGTGTTTCCCCGTTTATATAATACTATCATATCTGTTTGTCTTGCTGGCTGTCTGTCTGTTTGCCTGTCTGTCTGTCTGTCTGTCTGTCTATCGATCTATCTATCTATCCAGCTAGCTTATCTCTTTATCTCCCTCCCTCCCCCTCCCCCCTCCCCCTCTCTCTTTCTCTGAGCTAGTTGCGCGATGCGGTGCGTCGTTCTCCTCTAGGAACACGTGCGACCATCTGCCGGCTGAACTTGTATTGCTCGTGTATGTGTGTGTGTGTGTGTGTGTGTGACTGTGTGTACGTGTGTATGTATGCGTGTATGTGTGTGTACGTGTGTACGTGTGTGCCTTGAAACTAGCCACCTGCCTCTCGCTTCCCCGCGCGCGGGCGCTCCGTTTCTCCCCTTGTGTACTTTTCACGCCGATTAGAGCCCCGTGAAAAAAAAGCCGGGTAGGAGTAGGTGACTGATGTATGGCGAGCCGACACAGAGACTGCTGTGTTGTGTGGCGAGCGTGTTGTGTGCGCGCGCGCGCAAAAGAGGGGCGCGAAAAACGGGTCCTGGAGTTCTTTCAAACCTGTTTCGTTGTTATGTATATATATTTTGGTGCATATGTGCGTGCGTGCGTGCGTGCGTGTGCTCGTGTGCGTGTTTGAACTTGTGATTGAATGTGTTGGTGTTGAAATACGCGAGTTATTTGCCACTGGATTCTATCTATAGCACTTCTGGATGTGTGTCTGTCTGTGTTTGTGTGCGTGCGTGCTTGCGCGTGTGCGTGTGTGTGTGCGTGCGTGTGTGTTGTATGTGTGTTAGTGTACGTTGTGTGTGTTAACGTGCGTTGTGTGTTTGTATGGGGGGGGGGTGTACGTGTCGTGTGCGTATGCGTGTGTGTGCGTGCGTGTGTGTGTGTGTGTGCGTGTGTTGTATATATGTGTGTGTTAACGTGCGTTGTGTGTTTGTATGGGGGGGGGAGTGTACGTGTGCGTATGCGTGTGTGTGCGTGCGTGTGTGTGTGTGTGTGCGTGTGTGCGTGTGTTGTATATATATATGAGTGTGTTAACGTGGCGCTGTGTTTGTTAGGGGGGGGGTGTACGTGTCGTTGCGTGTGTGTCTGCGTGATGTGTGTGTGGTGGTGTTGGTTCGTGTGTTGTATATATATATGAGTGTGTTAACGTGCGCTGTGTTTGTATGGGGGTGGGGGGAGTGTACGTGCCGTGTGCGTATGCTGCTGCTGCTGTTTGGGCCGCTTGCCTGCTGCTGCTGCTGCTCTCCTCATCCATCCATCTATCCCCGCCGCCTCCGTCACGCAGTGGCAGGCGTGCGTGTGTGCACAGCAGACGCTGCTGTCACGCTATCACGCACGCACATCTTTCCCGCAACCACCCAGCAAGCTCTCCGCTGCGATCGTTACTCATTTACCCTTTCTCTCACTCTCCCCCTCCACTCTTCCACTCCTCCACTCTTCCACTCCTCCACCCTTCCACACACACATTCAGCCAACTAGCGCCAACAGCGGGTATTATGACACAAATAACTGATCGTTGCTCCCTCTGCTACTTCCACACGGCACACACTACCCCTGTGTACATGTATTTAGTTATCTATGATATACACTAAACTTATACTATGTACTACTAGATGTATATATATGCTGTTATACGATGTACTACTTACTATTAAAACTACAATGTGCTCAGCTATATACTATGTACTGCTATAGCATATATATACATCTGTTCATGGTATCACGTACAATCACGACCAATCATGGCTGACAGCGCGTGACGACAGCAGCGGCAGGTGTGTGTGTGTGCGTGCATCTGTGTGCGTGCATTACTGTGTGTGTGCGTAGATGTGTGTGGTGTGTGTGTCGTGTGTGTTGTGTGTTGCGTGTGTGTGATGTGTGTGTGTGTGCGTGCGTGCGTGGGTGTGTGTGCGAGCGTGCATGAGTGTTGTCTCGCGCGCCGTGCGAGCGAGGTGTCATTCGTGCGTTGTGTGCGTGTGTGTGCGAGCGGTGCGTGCGAGCGTGCAATGAGTGTGTGCCGGCGCGCGTGGGCGAGCGAGCGTGCATGCGTCCGTGCGTATGTGTGCGTGTGTGTGCGAAGCGTGCAGCGCGCGGGTGGCCGTGTGTGTCCGTGTGGCGAGTGCGTGTGTGTTGTGTGTGTGCGTGGTGCTGTCGAGCGGCAGGCGCGTGCGTGCTGTGTGCTGTGCGAGCCAGTCGCGTGTGTGTGTGTGTGTGTGTTTGGCTGTGGCATCGCATCTCTAGCAGACTACCAGGCCAGCTAATTAAAACGTG